TGCTGAGATGGAAAGGGATTCTAATCTGATGGAAAAATTGAGAATCATTGTGTTAAGTATGCCCTGAATTATTAACTACCCCAAGATGTGATTAGATTTCTGGCCTGTTGAAAGTTGCAAACCTGTGTATACAGAGCGAGGAAAATGGGTGTTGTAAGTAAAGTCGTGGGAATTAAACATCATTTTTGGTTTGGTCATTGAGCCGTTTTTAAAATTATTTCAGATTGTCCTGAATAAGTGTTAATCCAATTTGTCAAGATAAACAGGCGTTGCTTTCAGTCAAACTGGATGCTTACTTGAATTCTAATGCTGTAACCCTATTTCAGCTCCTTTTACTGTAAATTTAACTAACTTTCAATACAAACACAATTTCAAGCATCAGAATGAAATTTATTAATAAATTTTCTTTATAATATTAGACTACAGCTGCTGCTTAAATTTGGTAGTATCTTTGCGTGTCTTCCTGAACTCCATGCCTCCACTGCCCAACTACATTTTCTAGTCAATAAACCACTCTTACGTACTCCAACAGTCTACATTTAGTTTGCTCTTGTTTATGCACGGTTGTGTTGTGGTAACCTAATTGCTTCAAGTGAGACAGTTCTCCAAACTGACAGTGACTGAATGAAGCTAATCTTGCTGATACTGTATCTCTGAATGTTGTGGCTGCTACAACATGCTCGTACAATGTGTAATGCCTCAAATGAAATTGCAGTTGGTATTTTTACAGAAGAGGAACAAAGCCGTAGGTGACAGACCTAGAGCCTTTCTTATCGGCTGTAGCTCGCCAATTGCTGCTTTCAGGTATGAGTTTAGGATTGACAGAGGTGAGCAGAACAGTGATCTTATAGACTTGCTGCTATCGGAAATAGTAGTCCTCAGTTTTCACCCTAGTGCATGTCTTAGAAGCATCCGGTAGTTAAACCATTTTAAACAGCCTGTTAATTATATTGCATAGCTGACCCTGCAATTTCTAAAGATAATAATGGGGTTTAAAAAGTTTGAAATTAAATGTGACATTGCAGAATAATTCAGCTAAAACATGTTTGCTCTATACTCTGATTTTGTGTCAGCTTATTTCACAGCAGCTGTTTCCAGTCACATAGAATTTATCTGTAGAATTATTTCTCTGGTTGGGTTGGGGGGAAACAAAACAAGCTAAGATATCCTTCTAAATATGAGCAAGTTTTAATGTGTCAGATTCGTTTCATTTTATTTTGTGCAGCTGTGGTTTAGTTTTAGTTAGCAGCAAAGAGCTTATCAAGCATCTCTAACCTCCTCTCAAAGGTATTAATTTCACACTGAATGCCACTTGTCTCTGTCTCTTCAAAAGCACATGCTAAATTTAAAGTGCCATTTATTTATATATATAATACAGGGGCCGGGAGAATAGCTGCTTGTGAATGGACAGTTTCACTCTTGGCTTTATTATTTTAATTCCTTTTTTGTGGAATAATGTTCTACTTTTGCTGCAGTGATGCTATGAAGGTTTTTGAAATCTCATCTGAGGGAGCTTTTCTCTTACCTGAGAAGCCTTAGAAATTTTGGAAACGTGGTTTCTTATTGTAGCAAGGTATGAGAGAGCAGCATAATCAAGTGATTAATGGCAGCCCAGATGCCTGCTCTACCTGAACATAGACAAAAGAGACCTTCTGTCACTATCAGGAGACTGCAGGAATAATTGTCCATTTCAACTTAACAGTTTAACAGCCCTTCTTCTCTCCTACTTTTTCTTTTCTAGCATGGGATAAGTTTTGTGATTTATTTTTTTTTTTTTGCTTTTTCATACCGAGGAACTGAAGTTTGCGATAAGCTGTTGCGAAGTCTTTTGTCGCTCTTGTGTGGACACTTCTGAATTAAGTATCTGGTGCATAGTTACTTGCAATTTCAAAGAAAGTTGAGTCAGCGAGCCAGTGACTTCCACTGGGGAATTTGGTGTGTTGTCTCACCTGAATCAAATTCAAGATCAAGTATGTTAGTGTTAATAAATTTTCATACTGTGAAAGAATCTCAAACATGAGAAGCCTTTTCTACCTCAAAGCTAGAAACAACTGTAAAGGCATATATTGCAGCTGGAGTTCATCTGTTTCTGCTCCATAGACCTCTTATCCTTCGCTGGCATGAGGATTTCTGCTATTTCTGTAGTGTCAAGTTTGCCCTGAGGGAAGTCTGTGCAGATGCAGTGTTTCACATTCCCATTTTTAACGTGAGGCAAAAGAGAAAAGAATTACAAGACAGTAGCAGAAGTGTTTCTGAACTCTCCCACATTGCCACAACTGTAGCAGCTGTCGGTTGTGCTCAAAAGTCTGGGCATCTTGTTTGAGCAGTGGTTCTTCAGAACCTCGTATGGGTTAACAGCGTTCTCTGTCAAAGCCGACCACAGACTACAAACTTCAAACAACGCAAGGGAGATGGACATGTACCCTGACAATTCTGATCTCCAGTTGGTACTGCTCAGTGAGGTGTCTGATTGTGGATATGATTGTAAAAAAGAAACAAAATCAAACCATGGAAGGTGGGAGTAATTGTGGATAGTATCTAAATTGTACACAGAGCTAGTCCCATGGGTGTTCTGCTTTGCAGTGCTCTGAGAAGAGGCTGAGTTAGCTAGGGGGACGCTCTCCACACCAGTGTCCCACTGTCTTGCTGCACAGTGGCTAATGGAGCCACTGAACGTAGGAAGGACATGGTTTCACGTAGGGGAGCTGATACTGAAGGAGGCTGTCTTTTCTTACTTGTGCAGCCCTGGCAAAACATGTCAGCCTATAAAAGACTGGGTATTGCAGAGTTGGTATGCTGGGGCCCAGTACTCTTTCTCAATTTTTTGATTGTTTATGGAACTAATCCTCATTTATGCGCATAAAAGGTTTGTTGGATGAAAGAAGATGAGCATCAGACGTTTTGATCCTGATTGAGAATAGTATGTATAAAGTGAAATAGATGCAACTGCTTTTCTGAATTTCATCTTAAGCACAGTGCCCTAGAAAAATACTTAACTGATGTGAAACTCTTTGACCTAACTGATACATACGCTTTTGAAACAGGATCTCTGTGAATGTTTAAAGTTATCTGTGGATGCTGATACAGTTTGAGATTGGTTGTGTTAAATACTTACATGGTCGCAGTAGTGTCCTGTCCTTGCAGTAGCTGTTCCCTAGCTTTGAGACTATTGGTTCACCAGAGAGTTGAGATTACAGGAGGACTGTTGTCCATTGTAATGAAGAAAATAATAAAAAATATACCTTGCCATCTGCTCTGTCCACTAAAACTTTTTCACCCCTTTGGGAGATGGATTAATTTCATCAAATTTATTCCACTTGAGAAGACTGAGAAATCACAAAACATATGTTGTTAATGCACATGAAAACTAAGAGAAAGGCACTCCAAACTTGTAATATCTGAGGAAATACCTGGCGCTATTTGGTACTGAGTTAGGGGATGTAAGTTAAATGTTATATAGATTTTAATATTTGTCTTTGGTTTGCTTTCTGTAGCTAGATTTTTGTGTGTGTGTATGTGGTACACACGAATCCAAGAAGCTGGCCAGCAAATCACTGCACTTTAAAGTAATTACTTTTTTGTCTGCGGTATCCTTTGATTTCTCCTATGTATGTTGCTTGACTCTTTCTCCATGTCAAGATGCTGCCTAGCTAGCAAGCTAGGTGAGGGAGTTATTTTTCTGACCCATGCTAGAACTGGAAGCAGAATTACTTTACTAGTAAATTCTGTGTCTAAATAGTGACAGAGTAGGTTATGGCCCCAACTGAGTACTTAGCAATTTCTTCCTAGTGGATGTTTTGGCTTTGTAAATGAAGGTAATCAAGTCCATTTCAGCAGAAGTGTGCCTCTGAGCCAGCATATTAAAATATGTTCCAATTTTTCCTGATATCTGTCTTCATGTGACTGGATACGTTTCCAAAATTGAGGGGCCGAATTCTGATCTTCACATTAGGATCAGAATCATGTATTAGTCTGGAATATAGACTCTGTTCTATTTAAACTGTAGCTTTGTGTAATATTCCAGATTTATATTCATTCACTTAAACTTCATCAGAAGGGAAACACACAATCTGTCTTTTTTTAGGTTGCCTTTGATGTGCTTCATGTATTTCTGCGTGCTGCAACTGTAGAAATATCTTCTTTGCATGATTTTCTTTCTCACCTTTCTTATTTTTTTTCCTCTTTTTTTTCCTTTCTTCCCATGTTTTCAGTCAGTAGTGAACCTGATCAGTGAGCTACAGGAGCAGATGTGTAGACTGCAGCTGGAAATTAATAATAGGATCCAAGAAAGAAAGTCTCAAGATAGGAAACCAGACTTGACACCTAATGGTCCTCAATCTAGTCCAAGATCAGTGGTAGCGACTCTCAGCCAGAAGAATTGCTCTCGGTGTGATGTACGAGAAGTACACCTTAGCAGAAGCCTGTGTATTGCCTCTTCTCTTCTCTTGCAGAAACTAAATTCCCCTAACCAGAGCTATGTTGTGAATTATTTGCATTAATCTTTGTGGCTTTCATTAGGAAAGAGCGAGGTGGTCTTAAAAATTACCAAAAAAATCCCTACCCCAGACACCCCACCCCGATTATTGGGACAAATTTGGTCACCATTGATGCTTGTCTACTAAAGCGCAGGCATCTGTCAGACCAAATCACCTCTTTCAGGTTTTTTTAAGGTTTTCATTTCACTTGTAGGTCTGCAGTGCTGGTGTGGTGTGAGTTTCTTTTTTGATTTGGGGGTTTGGTTTTTTTTTTTTTCCTAGTTGAGATTTGTCTGTTTGACACACAGCATGCTGGCATGGTTTGGTGGTTTACTAATTTCCCTCATGATAATGTCACCCTAGCCGTGCATGATGGTGCACCCTTACCAGTCCTCTGAACACAGATTATTAATTCCTGAATATCTTAAAAGCTTAACACAGGTATAAAACAGTTTCAGGTAAGACTAGCTGAAGTGTATCCTTTCTTTTTCTTAGGATACTGTTAAAGTAAATGAAAAGAGTCATTCACTTTAAAATAGCAAATCCAGCACACTTTTGTTTATTCTCTGACATTAGCAGTTACCATTTTTTGAATTTACATTACAGGTCTTAGTTGTGTTTCATCAAAACTATGTCACATGTCAAAACAAAAGCTATTTTACTTAAACTGCTTAAATTTACTGAACATGGAATGATACTGCTGTGCCTGAAAAAGTCAATTTTAATATTTGCTTTTAAATCCGTTTGCTTTAGTTGCCACATGTCTTTGGTTAAAATTCGGATCCCCAGAACTCATTTTATAAATAATCTCCATATATCGTGAGGGAGGTTTTCAGTAATTTTTCTCAGGTTTATTTTACAAAAATAGCTCATTTGGGTATGATGCCTATTTTGAAAATAGTGGGGTTTTTTGTTGCTGAGCTTGCCCTGTCCAGAACTAGTTAGGGAACTATTAGACTACAGTACAAGCTGCATATTGGAGAAACAATCTGACAGTCAAATCTGGAAGTCATTCAACATAAATATTAATTTAATCCAAGATATTAGTATGGTTGCTTAATGTATATACTATACAGGATTCCAAAATTGGGTTACACTTCCAAATTTTCCCTTTCCTCAGTTCATTTTATGACATTTGGTCCTGTCACAGCTCCATCAAGGATTTAATACTGTTGTCCTTCAGAGTGAACAATAAGCTGTGGTTCTGTCCAGGAAAGGGAGAAGGGACATTTAAGAGACAACTTTATCAGAGGAACAGGTGGAGAATGGTAGGAACCCTGGCTGAAAGTAGCATATTTGTAGTCGTATTTGACTGTATGTGTAGGGTATTAAATGACTGTAACTTGCTAGATACTATTTAGTCTGAGTGTTACATTCCCCAGTAAGTAGCTTAAACACCTGTTTGGGGAGAGGATTGTAATTTTAATGAAAGTTAGAAATCTTTCAGCACTGCATTTTTCTACTTACTTTCTGAGATGGCTGAAAAACAAAACAAAACCAAAACAACAACAAAAAAACCAACTCCCACCAAAAAACCCCAATAATTAATGTTATATGAGACTGCAGTTGTGGATTTTTTTGGCTCATTTTCACCGAGAGACACATCACTTCACCAGGCACACAACTGTCTTCCTTAATACGACTAAGAAATTTGCTCATAATTTCAGGTGGAGAGTTTGAGAAAGTATTCCTTATCTCTCTGTTCAAAATACTTTTTGTCGTCTTAGATTAGGTCACGATTTTTAATGTGGTGGTTCAGTGTTCATTACTGTGTGGTTCGGGCATGATCATTAATTCAGGACTATGGAAAATCAATATATATCAGAGTAAACTTACTTTTAGCTGCTGTTCTTCCTTTGCAGGGTTTGCTACAGGAACTTAGACACCTCAAAATTAAAGTGGAAGAACTGGAAAATGAAAGAAATCAATACGAGTGGAAATTAAAAGCAACTAAAGTAAGTGGAATACTTGGCATTTACTAATGACAGGCTTATTTCAGCTGAAAAGGGATATGCTTTATTTCTCATCAATGTTTACTTTTCTTACAATTGCTGTGTGTCAGCGCTTACTATAAAGTCAAGTTTCTTCACTCATATTTGGTTATTTGGTTTATAGTCTTTGTAGCTTCTTTTTGTGCCTTTTGCTCCCTCCCTGCAGTTTCCAGTCTTCTACCTTTTGGTAACTCTTTTTTTTTTAAAAAAAAAAAAAAAAGGCATTTTGACTTACAAAGGACCTGTCCTGAGGAAAGTCGTCTTTGAAGGTTTTCTGTCTTTTATTTGTGTAGTGGTGACAAGCCGCTCTGGAATATGCTTTCCAGACTGAAGAGACAAGACATGCAAAGTTGGTTGGGTGTTCACTTACTGTGGAATTTATTTTAATAGACATTAAGCCCAAAATACACCATTAGATCATCTGCTTTGACTTCGTGTATATCAAAGGCATAGCTGCCTTACCCTTCTGTTGACCTTAAATCCTGGAAAGCTGCTGGATTGTAATCGGGAGAACATTTCATCATTTTCCTCAGTAATTAATTTTTCTAGTTGAACATTCTCATTGTTAAACAGTTGCGCTTTATTGCTAGTTTGAATTTTTAGCCCTTTTCCACTAGATTAAAAAGCACCTTCTAATTTTTCTCTGTTGAGGTACGCTTTTGTGCTGTAATCACATCGTCTTTCATTTGTGTAGTACTGTAATCCCTGATCAGATGAATGACTGTCTTTTTTGAGTTGTGGTTGGATCTTGGAAAAACATTTCAAATTATTAAACTGAGTTTTCTTTTTAATATTTGATAGCTTGATCCAGAAATGACAGATAGCTATTATTTGTATTAGCATTTCTTTCTTTTGAGAATTCTTAGATAAATATTGAAATTCTGCTATTATGTTCTTTTTCCTATTAAGATAATAACTCTTGTATCTGTGAAAATGTTTTCTCTGACGTGGTGGAAATGAAGAGTCTTTGGGAAAATATTTTCTCAAGCAGTGTGTGGCCAGCTGCCAGGACAGATAAAGATTATGGAAAGTGTAGGAGCAGAATGAAAATAAGCAAGAAGAGTCATAAAACCCATTGAGTGAGAGAAGATACAGGACTAGAAAGGAAGAAAAGTTTTTTAAAGAGAGAGGAAGAAGAAAAACAATTGTAAAGATGACAGGAATGAGAAATTAAAGGAAAAGACGGCATTTAAAAGAGCTGTGATATCAAATAGACCAGGGGAGACAAATCCAAATCTGGTATTAAGAGGTCTGCAGCTTTTGTCTTCCTGTTGCTCCAGCTTCTTAGAGGAGAAATTGGAATATTTCCATGGCTGGATATAAAAAGCATATTAGTCACTGGGAAGTGTAGGAGCCCTTCAGAGATGCAACAAGGCAGATTCTTCTATTCCACACAGAATTGCAGCCAGAGTGGTGATCTTTTGCTGCCATCCAGCTGCTTGCTTCCTGGTGAAAATAAGTTTGTGATTAGAGTAAATTAGACCATGTTATTCCCTGTTTGGATAATGTTGTTTGGTCTTTTGCATTGTTTTCCTGCCTTATTTTAGTATTTTGAGAAACTGGTCACATTAGTGATTTGTTGTTGTTGTTTCTTTTTTTTTCTTTCTTTTTTTCCTTTAACTGTAAGGAGGTTTGATATGCTGTTGCTGAGGGAAATGCAGAACATCACATTTAATAAAGGCTTTAAGGCTGCTGAAGAAAATCTTAGTGAAGCTGCTTAGGAAACTATGCTGTTGGCAGTTTTTCTCATAAGTAGGAAAAAGAGATCAAAATCGCTCTATTTCAAGCTGGACATCCACAAAATTCTATTCCCTCTGTATTGTTGAGGCCTTTAATGTGTGATATTCTGTCCCAATCTAGCAGGAGCGCAAATTGCAGTAAGTGCAAATGAACCACCGATATTTTGCTGCATATATGTGGTGTTTTCCAAGCCATGCTTTGCTTCTAGCCGATTTGCTGTAGTATCTGATGGGAGGAAGAGCAATTTTGTGATGCTGCTGAGAAGAAAGCTCAGCATTATTAGATCCTCAATTATGTTAATAAGTAGTAACTAGGATTAAAAAAGTATCTTTTAAAAAATGCTTTGTTATTTTTAGTGGTCTTCATGCAAAACTCGGGCTTTGCCCTATAATAGTCATTAATATATAGCCAGCATTGTAGCATTGAGAGCTTTCCAGAATGTCTTTACTTACAAGAATCCTTGAAAGTTTTTGTAAGTCTATTTCCTCCGAGAGATAATTGCACTGGAAAAAGTGAGCTTCTGTAAAAGGAATAGGATAGTAACACCATGAAATATGTAAGGTTGTTACAGTGTTTATGAAATGTCCTGAATTGGGAAAGGGCATCAATCAAAGTGTTATACTTAGAAGTCTTCTAGTTCATAGGAAAGAATCACAGAGAATCGGTGATGATGTTATTCTGAATTTCTTGTACTCTCTTTCAGGCTGAGATAGCCCAGCTTCAAGAGCAATTAGCTCTCAAAGATGCAGAAATAGAACGCTTACAAAGTCAGCTATCTAGGACCTCATCACATAGTGAAGTAGCAGAAAGAGGTAAGAGGAGGGGAATTAAAATTAAAAATCCAGACCCCTGCTTTAACTTCACTTTGGTAGCAGCTTGGCTTGGTATTTCAAAGCGATATAACCATTTAACTTAAAGAATTTGTTTTGGGAGGAAAAATGGTGCAAAATTATTTTGTGTTCTGATGGAGTAGAGGCCTTTAATGCGTGAAATCCTATCCCAATCCAGAGGCAGCACAAATTGCAATAAGTATCCTGAGGGCACTGAAACTTTTTCTATTGGAATTTTACTTCTAATTTGAAAGAGTCATTGTAGCTCAGTGAGAATGTATTTTTTTGTGTATACTTTCAAAATTTCTTTGAAAAATCTTTACAGTTTCCATTTTTTAATTAAAAAAAAAAAAATCGTCACAGTAGTAGCTGAGCATCGTGTTTTAAACATCCAGACATTCTCAACCATAGTCATTGATTTGTGCCATTCCTTTCTTCAAGACTATATCTCATTTAGGCTTCCTCTCCTACGAAAGGTTGGACCAGAGAGTCTTTCAAAGTCCCTTCCAGCCTGGGCTGATCTATGATTTTATGATATTGCAGGCTTCTGGTTTGAATCTGCACTGTTGATACAGGTCAATGGCAAATAAACCAGTTTGTTTAGGCTTTGGTTTCAACCAGTCATGTCACAGTCCTATGGAATATTGACTCCCTGGAGCTTCTGTCGATTGCTGGGCTGTGAGCAACATGATATTAGGGACCTTTTTTCTTCTGTGATACTGACACTTATCCATGCAAGAATATTTGTGTGTGGTTGACCACAGTGCATCAGCTCAGCTGCACTAACTTCTTTTGTGGGTGTTAACTAACGCTTCCAAAGAGTGCCCTGGTTGAGATGTGACTTTTCAGGTGGTGTGCTACCTCTTTCTCAGGGCTTACCGAGAATCTCCTGACAGGTATTAATGCAGATGTGTCTTTTCTAGAAGACTTCGTATTTTGACTGTTGTTTATTCCAAATAAGTAACTTAACATATACCTGGTGCTGATTTCACTCAGCTGCAGAGCTTGTGCATGAAGAGAACTGCATGTCTAACTAGAAAAAAGTTTGTCTAACAGCAGTGTTTTCTAGAGGCACTCTTCTGCTAACAGAATTTTGTATTTTCTGTGAGATTGCCAAATAATTTATGACGTTTCAAGGGAAAGATAGCGGTATGGCAATAAATCAAAACCTCAGCAACTTTCAACTTCTTGTAGTGTGTCTGTTCTGTTCATGCCAAAGATGGGTGAAACTGACCTTGATTCCAGTGGGAGAAGAATCAAACCCTGTACAGATCCTTTAGCTACATTTAAGGAAACCACTTAGACTATATTTGAATGGAAACAGTATGCGGTAGTAGTAATTCTTCTGGAAAAATTTACTGATTTATCAGATTTACAGGTGGTCTTCTCAAAGTTGGAAAATTATGTCAATGTGCTTGTAGTATGCTAGAATGCATATTTTATTTAAATTGCAAAATTTATCTAACATGTGCTTTTTCTACATACTTTATTTGACTCTCACCATTTACCTTCGTAGAGGAAGTTTATAGGAGAAGGCTAAAAGAAAAACGTAAGCCTTGCAATTCACTTTTGGCTTTATCTCACTGTTCCTTTCACACAAATTATAACTCAGATGCATTCTGCAGGAATAATTCAATGTTTGTTTAGATTTGGCTGTCTAATTGTAATATACATGAGACATAGCTTTCGTTGCTTGCAGCAACCAGACAGCTAATTGCCCTGTTTAGTGAGATTTCACTTCAGAATAAAATAAATCAGATGTTCACAAATCAAGATAATTGGATTTCAAAGGGACATTGTCAAGGTTAACAGAGCCAAAACTTAACCTTTACATCTTTTTAGTTGTATATATGTAAAACCCATATAATATCTGGAAAGGTGGCTTTAATTCAAAGCCTCCTTCCTTGGCGGGGAAGGATTTGGGCTTTTTTTTAATCAGTGCACTAAATTAAAAAAAATGTTTCCATACTTAATGTTGTTATAAATACTGTAAGTAAAGTCTGCTTTAGTGTGCCTAAAAATACCTTGACACCAGTTCTTTTTGAAGTCTAATATTTATAAAGAGAAATTAGTAGGACTGTGATTTTTTTTAATGGCTTTTTAAAAATCTTCCAATTGCTTGCCCACTGCCTGCTGGCTTTAGTTTTTGATTTGGCTGTGTCTGTGCATGTCTTATGTTATTAAGTGTTCTCTTTCGCAAGAGCAATGTTTGCTAAGTTCATTTACGTGTTTTAAAACTTAATCATTACAAGGTGTGTATTTTTCAGGATCACAAGAAAAACTAATTCTAGTTTTTGCAGTAGTCTGGATATGACATTGTATGTTCAACATTTTGTTGTAAAACATTTTTTTAAGGATGCTTTTTAGCAGTGTTGATTTTCTTTCTGCTCTCTCACTCCATGCCTGCCACATCTGGTTTTCATAGTCTTTTGTGAAACAAGTGGGTCTGTTTTAATGTCAAAACATGAATTCCTTGAGTAGCAGTTACAGTAGACAAACTATTTCAGGTTCTGTCTCCATCACGTGGACTTCATTTAGTATAGGTTGGTACTGGAGGACTTGGTAGGAATAGCATATAGAGAAGAAATGAAAGATTTGGTTCCGCAAAGTAAGGATGACATGATTAAAAACCTCATAAATTTTCAGCAAGTGTGTTTTAATTGATGTTGACTAGAACATTCCTGAATAACCTCTATCTTTTACCACTAAATCGTGTGTGAGGCAATTCTGTATTAGCTCTTGATGTAGATTTTAACTCAGTTATTCATACTGAAATGTTTTAAGAAAAAAGTTTTCCTCATTTCAGACTAGGTCTGAAACATTTCCATGTTTCGTGAATGTCCTTGAGCTGCTTCTCATAAGCTGGCAAATATTTTTCCCAGATGGAATATAATTAATTTTCAATCATACTTAAAATTACTTTCTTAAATGTATAATAGAAAAGGCACTCTCATCCGTTGAAAAATAAACTTCAGTGTTCTTTTTATTACTTGACTTTTAGAGGAGAAAATCATATTATGTAGCCTTTTATAAGCAAAACCCGCGTGCTTGTGTTGTGCAATGCTTTTAATAGTGCAGCTTTTGAAAAGCTCTAAGTTAAATGTAGTTTACCAGTGCATTTGCCATGCCACAGATATGGCTTTGAGTACAGGGAGAGTATCATAAAACATATATTGTTTACACTAAGTATAGCAAGTGTATTTTCCTTATAACATTTTAAAAACATTTCTAGATCAAGAAGTTCAACGGTTGAAGATAGGAATGGAATCATTATTGGCTGCAAATGAAGAAAAGGTGAGAAAACAATCCTTGCTCTACATAATAAGAATGAAATGATGATTTTTAATCTCTGTAATGATCTGAATTGGCCCGCTCTCTGTAAGCGTGGTATTGCCCTGAATTTTGGATTACCACATGAGATTGTGACAGAAGGTCGATTTTTAAATAGAAAGTGTGGCTGACCCTGCTAACCTGGCTGCAGGACTTGGGAGGCTCATCAGATTCTGGAGGGGAACAGAAAGCCAAGGCTGTAATGAGCAGAATCTCCTGGTTTCTGCTGCTGAAAAGATCGCTAAGGTTTGGTCATCTCTGGCAGCTCTTTGTCTTCCAGCCTAATCTGAAGTGCGTTAATATGCCCAGTTTAGATTGTGATATTAAAGGAAAGTCAAAGTGGCTTTTGAATCGGACTCAAATTTTGGGAGAAAGGGACCAGGATTTAAAGAGACAAGGGTAAGAAAAATAAAAAGAGTACTAAAGGAGAGAAGTGAAATTAAACCCACTAAAGTGGTAAATACTATTTTTGCCTCTTATCACCTGTATGCTGTTTGCCTGTCAATTGGACAATTCCAGTGCAGGGTTTAGGGCTGTTGAGTCTCCACCTTTGGATGCCATTGACTTACTACATAAATGGATGCTTATTTTTGGAGGGAGGGTGGGGGGCTAAGGGGGATTGATTCTTGAGAGAATTGTAATTCTTGTTTTGGGTTAATAAACCAGGCGACAGGATTTTTCTTTACAGTAACACACTCGTGTACAATCAAATAGACAATAATATACATCCCTAAAAACTGCCTTTAGTATGTGGGGAATCTGGACAGGGCAACGTCAATTTTGGAAAATATTAATGTGTCTCCTAACAACCTTTAGTTCTTTAAAAACTCAAAAAGCCAAAATTTACATCTGGAAAATAAAAGACGTGGCATTATCTCTTGCCAAAGTTTTTCCAAGTCCGCATAAGATTTTTTGCGTTTGAAGAGAACACACAATATTGTTGCTGATGTCCTAATCCCTGGATATACTCACAGGGAAAGGAGTTATTTCCTTGGAAACTGCAGTGTTTAAACTAGTGGACTGATGGTTGACCCACAGCTTCTTACATGTTTAATATAAAGCTGTTACTTTCAATAATATTGCAAAATGTTTTCCTGAGGAAAAATAGCTTTAAATAGCTTTGGGGATAACTCTAAATATTCCTTGTGTCATTTAGGACAGAAGGTGCTCAGCTAAGTTGGCAGTAAGTGGTGCACACATTTCTTTTATAAAAAAACGGGTATGTTAGTCACAGTTCTTTGCTATGAAGAACTTCATGCTCCTGTCCATAGTTGGGATAACTGGGCCTCTTTTGTCTTGTGTATACTTGCTGCGGGGTGAAAGGAGGATCGGCATCATCTACCATTCTGGAATGTGGTAAAGGTCTGGTTTCTGTGCAGTTACTCCTACAACTCAGCTGATGCCTGCTGTGACTGTAATGTAGCATACCTGTACTGGAGCAGATTTGAATTGCAGTATCTCTGACGCTGACCTAGCTATGGCAGTGCAGCAGCTCAGTATCAGCTAATCACTTAAATACTTGCCAACTTCCCTGGAAGTGTTTTTTTGGATTTTTTCGTCCAGTGCCCACTTCTCTACTTCTGTGACTTCCCCTGGCACCTGCTCGTGAAAACTAGTTCTTTAATACTTGCTTGGGTTTGTATTCGGTCCTCTGTAGTCACAGCACTGGGCAAGATTATTGCCCAGGAATGGTTTAGGACTGGGGTCAAAGAAGCAGGACAAACTGTAAGAGTGCAAATTGCAAGACTGCACACTTAGTGACCGATAGCAAGAATTTATTATCACCAGGAACACAATGTCATATGCAGAAATGAGAGAAATTACAGATCCAATCAATTAAACAATGATTACTACCCATTGCTATGTTGCGTCTGTGCAAAAGGCAGGTGCAGTCCCTGAACACATGAATCAAGATGCTTTCTGGACAGCCTAGGAAAGCGTTAGGTATTGGCGGAAGAGTGGAGTGGGATAATGCATCAGACATTCATGAGACCTCATTTCTTTGGTTCTGTACAGGTTTGACTGCCTAAGTTCAAAAAGGTGTGTTCAAAACTGGAGTAAGTGTAGATGTGGGAACGCAGAACATATCCTACAGGAGAGGATTAAAGAGCATGACTAGAGTGTTAAACTAGACAAAACGTAAACATGGTTTACTTCATGATTACAGGTACAACGCTAGCACAAAACAAACACTGCCCACTTCAGGCAGTTGAGGTTCAACTCTGAATGTTCCCTCAACTCTTAGAAGTTAAAGTAGATTTCCAAATTATGTTTCTGTAAATAACTAATTTACTAGTAATGTCAAACTCCTCTTGTTTCCTTATATCCCTAACGTCACACTGTCCAGCAGATATTATGTATGATGGCAAATAAAAGTCAAGAAACGTTCTTTACAAGGCATATGAGTAGGACCTGATACTGCTTTCTGGAAAAAGTCCAGGCCAAAATCACAGAAATGAATGTGTCACACAGTGTTTCTACAGGTTAAAAATGTAGAATTTTAAATATTTCATTTAATGCTTTTCCCAGGACCGTCGAATAGAGGAGTTAACCCTATTGCTCAGCCAGTACAGGAGAGTCAAAGAGATCATGATTGCAGCTCACGGTAAAATGCTTTGTGAATAATTTCCTGCTATCAGGTCTTTTAAAAACAGCATGCGCTACATCTGCTATTTGTTGTCCTTTTAAATATATGTGTATAGTAATACAAATTTCATTGTGCATATATTCGTATCATGTTGGACTGTTATGAGAGTAAGTATTACACTCCTCTTTCAGATGCAGAGAGAACCACAGTATGACTTGACAAGGCTTGTGTGTTAGTGCCTGTAGTTTGTGGAGATTTCCTTTTTGTTTCCAGTGCTGTAGGCAGTACAAAAAAATAGGGTCAATTCTGTTTGGAGATTTAGTTACAACGTTACTAATCAGAAAGATTTCTGGGACTGAATCTTATGCTTGACTCTGTAAGTCATAACCTAAAATTTGTTCTACATCAGTTAAGAGTAAATCCCTCCTTGGAGCCTAATTTTGGTGCTGTATGTTGTTTTAGATGGTGTCGTTAAGGATTCTGATTGATAAGGATGAGTGATGAGGTCACTGCTCTGGTTGTACACGTGTGTGAACTGCTCATGAGCTGCATCTGAAGCGCTGCAGTTTACCTCCTTAGGTGCCAAAGCAACCTGAAGTCTGCAACTGCTCTCCTTAAAACACTGTGCCATACGCTGCAACGGGGCAGGAGCTTTGGTTGCAGAACTCCTACATCCATGTAGCGGTGGCTGCATGGACAGCTGGGGCCATGGCTTTATTAGTGACTTCATGCAGTCCTGTCCCTCCTCCCTGATGGGACTCCTGTAAGTCTCTTCCAGAGAGGAGAGGCCTATGCAGGCCTATGACATACGTCCTTCGTGGCCAAAGCATCATACTCCCTTTTTCGCTGCTGCTGGTTGCCATCCCCTCGGCTGCAGATAGGTTGTAGAGGCCAGACCAAAAGGAATTATAGCAAGAAGGGTGAAAAGGCAGGAGCAAACAGCAGGATGCTCGTGCAGACACAGAATTTGTCAAGACAGAGGGAATTAGGAAAGTTCATTCAAATTAGCTAAAGGCATGAGTTTACAGTGTTTTTACTAGATTGCATTATATCCCTCTCAAGAATCTATTATTCAAAATTAAAATGGCTTTCGGTTTGATTTAAATTTCTTCATCTGCAGGAGATGAATAAAATATACAGATAGGTATTGTTTGTATGGTGTTTCCTGTGACCTTTATGTTATGAGTAACTGGTTTTTACAGTGTAAAATGATATCAGGAGACCTTAGTGGATGATGAACATTAATTAAAGGCATCCTGTATTCAGATTTCCTACACCACAGTTCAGTTCAGGAATGGCAGCAGCGATCAGCTGCCAGCTAGCCAGATAGTGTTAATGACACATTTTCCTTACATGTCATGGTTTGTATACAGCATTCATAAAAGGGAAACTGATCTCAGGTGCAATTTTGACATTTTTAGGAGGACGTTTTTTCTTTTTTGCTAAAAAAGAGTTGCAATGAATATAATAAGTTCTGTTGCCCTTCCCTTCCACTGAGAAAAATCCTGACAGCTGACTAGGTAAGTTCTGGTTTGGAGGGAATGACTGAAGACCCATGGTTGCTTTGGTGCACACAGTATTATATCTTTAACTTCAAAATCCAGGGAAAAAATCTTTGTCCCATTTATCAATTACGCTGCAGGAAGTGGAATGGGTTTTAGGATGATCTCATTTCAAGTTGCCACCTTAGTTTTCAGTACTAAATTTAGTTTGGGAAACTTGACCTTCTGCAAGGACGGTTTTGTTCAACGTGCATCCTCACATTAACAAACACGGTATTTTCAGGTCTTGTACGGCAGAACGGAAACTTGTATTTAACACACAGGAATAGCGAACAAGAGTCAGGTAAATCTCTCTCTCTGAACGTTCATTTCAAGAGCAAAAAAAAAAAAGTTCTCTCACTTGAAAGTGTTCTGAAAGGAAATCCAAATGTGTGATTGTAGCTTTTGGAGAAGTATTTAATGTTAACTCCCAGGACAGCTACACCACTGTCACTCCGCAAGTAGGGGCTCTCAGCAGCGAGCCCCCGCAGTTCCACTCTCCTTGGCCACCTCCTGGTTGTACACATTTGAATGCACCATCCCCTGTGGGATATGGCTTTTGGAGGACGCTTGTTTGCGTGAGCAAGGAGCACGCCATGATGCTCTGCATTATTGAGTTGGTGCTGGAAGGAGTGTGGTGGTGTTAATGTATGCTCGTATAGATGTTCAGTACAGTGTAAATAAAACCCCAGTGATGCTCAGCATAATAAATAAAAACAAACCCCAAAACCTGTGTGGGAGCTAGAGTGTGTAGCGCGATTGTCCACACTGAGGTGTGTACTGTGATGGCTACAAGATTATCACAGCCAAATGAGCTTGTTACCTTACGTGTGTTTGTGGGAGTCTCATGTTTAGGTTGCCAAGAAATATCTCACTGATTATTTATTTGTTTTACTCCTAGAGGTGGGTTTTAAAGGTTCCCTTTGAAGTGCAACCCCTGTTTAAATACTTTTGGTAGCATCAATGGGTTGAAATATTCTCTGATAACTGTTTCAAATAATTACTTCACAGAAACACAATATATTGTAAACATTTCTTATTGCTGGTTAAGGCAAGCTACAAAACATGTTGACAAAAGATGACTGACTCTTCACTGTAGGTGGCACATACAAAATCAAAAACAAAACAAAAACAAAATCTGGTTTGGATTAAATTAGGCAGCTGCTTGAAACGGCCGCTGGCAGTTGAGTAAAATGTAAAGGAGCTGTCCTGACCGCGACTATAGGTAGCTCTTTTGCGTTTAGTAATTTGTGCTGACTGAAGGGCTGGGTACCAGGAGCCATAGCATAAGATTCATTCCACATCCTGCGGGGCCAACGGTCGGTGTCAGGTTTGTTGGCAGCCTTTGTAGCTGAACAGCATGATAACCCAGCTCATGTCTAATGAGTTTCCAAGTGATTTCTCTTGTAATAGTGCCAAGGCTTAATCGTAAGATTTGGTGGTTTTTCATAGCTGCCTAGAGCAGCTGCACCTCTATCACATAAATTGGGAGTTATTAATGTGCTTAAAGGTCAGTCTACATTTCTCCATCATAGCATAGCAGCATCCTGTATGCAACCCTATGCACAGGAGAGCTCCAGAAAAAATTCTTATCCAAAATACTCCAGAAGTTTGCTGAGCACTAAATAGTCAGACCCTGATGTAGTATTGCAGCTTTGATAATTTAGGAACAAATATCCTACTAAATAATGAATTTGGAGTATTTAAGTATTGTTTAGATCTGGGATATCCAGAAAAACCTGGAGCATGTTTACCATGTTCATCCTTGAACTCCGCGTGGGGCGTTGCATTATGATACAGGCGATGTCAAACATGCACGCTACCTATAAAGCGATACACTGAGTAAGAAAATGGTACCAACTTGAACTTGTCTCAGAATGACAAACTATGAATTAGAGTCATTCAGAAGCTGCCCCATAAGCAGCTTGGCTGCTCCCAACAGAGCACAGAATAAAACTAGAAGTGGTAAATTCGTTGTTCTAATACGAATCAGTTTGCCTATAAACCAGAGCCCAAAGGAGGGGTGGGGAGCAGAGAGGCTGGGAAACTACATGCATCAGATGAAGACTGAAGGGCGATTTAAAGACTGCAGTATTCGACTGCCTGATACAGTCCTAAATGTTTCTTTTTGGCCTGTTTCTCTCCCTTTCTGCTTCTAATCTTTAATGCTTGCAGGCTCTTCCATCTCTGGTGGCAGTGAAGAGGAACTTGAGACAACTTTAAGGAAGTGGAATCTTTTGAGTAATCCTCAAGGAGAATTATTTAAAACAGAGGTACTTAGTAAAGATGTTCTAGAAGCAAGTTCTGCTGTATATATGATTTGTTTGCATTGGTTTCTCTGTAGTAGCTAAGGTAATGTAGGGGAGGGTTTGGCCCTGGCTGAATTTGTGCGCCTCTTGGTATAGACACTAGAGATTCAGAGTCAGGCACTAGAGTTACATGCTTGAAACTCTTGTATTTCATATAGGCCTCTTCAGGAGAATTGTCACCAGCTGTGCTCTCTCCAGTGCCACACAATGCTCTGGAAATCAGGCAAGACCTTTGTTTCTTGTTTTTCATGTGGATTGTCCTAAGCCTGTATTGTTTAACCTGTTTAACTGTTGGCATCATCTTGCCCGTTCTTGGCTTTGCAAGACCTTTTGGGTAGCTGTGAAAGCAGGGTTTGCTGTGGGAGTTTGCAATACGTAGTTGTATAAGGTTTGAATTACAGGAATAAATTAGGACTTTTGTATATCAGAAGATATATGTATTGTAGTACTCAAAACCGTGTCTTTTTTTCTGATTCAAAGTGGAAGCATTCCAGTATCTTCAAGTAATTTAACCTCTCCACAAGAAGAATCTTTGGATATCATAAATAGGTAAGAGTGAGTAACGTTAATTGAAATGTAAAACATATAGGCAGAATTTTTTTAATAATTCTGCCTTTTTCCATTTTTTTAAATCTTTTTAAAAGCCCTTAATGTTGCACACTGTTCACAGAGAATTATTACTGGCTACTTTTGCTTGTTAAGAACGTCTAAAATGTCATCTATAGACAGAACGTTGAAAACTGCCCATTGCGCCTTGTTGCCTTTCACTGTTGATCACAGGCTGTCTTGTTGCTGTTTCTGACTTCATCTATTGCAGTTCCCAATACTATGAGTTTTAGGCTAAAAAATACAACAAAAGAAATGAATCTTCTAATTCTGAATTATCTGTTACATGCAGACATTATGTGATACATACAGCTGCCATATGATACAGTTGTGGCATATGCAAACATACAATGTTGTGTTAACTGTTGGTTTTTTGTCTGTTGTTATTTTAAGGGTACCACAGAAGAAAAAGTCAAGTAGTTTAGAAGACTTGCAGAGTGAATCCCTGGAAAAGGTTGGTTTCTTTGTAATCACAATTTCTGGTGTTTAATATCATGACTACAAGGTAAAGGTCAAGTATAAATAATGTTTTTGTTTCACATATAATAACCCAACCACCACTAATGTTGTGTGTGGGGAAAAAAGCCCTAATGATAGAAGAGTTCAGGTTCTTTTTTTACCCCATTGCCGAGCTTAGAATAAACAAACTGGCTGATGCACCCATCTGTACACATCCTTAAATTCAGCTTTTCAGCTGAAAGAGAAGAAAAATATTTAAGAGAAATAAAACAAATAATGTTAATGAGGAGTGATTTTTTTGTACTGCAGTATTATTTTGTTTATAGGTAAGTGTTTTAAAAGTAATTTTGACTTCCAAATCACTAAAATTGTTAAGGCAGGAAATCCTGAAAGTAGTTAAATATTGGGACTGGGTATTTCCACATAGGATTCCTTTTTGAGCGTTTGCATGTAAATGAGTGTTGCGCCCTAACTTGGATTTCTGATATAAATGCCATGCCTGATGCTGCCTTAGTTAAAACAGCAGGAGCACTGTTATTAATTCAAAGGTTTAATTCCATTCCGGAATAAAGGTTTGTCAGTTTACAAAGTCTCATTATATTCTGGTCTAGAGGCTTGTTTTGTCATTATGTACACTGAAATTTTTCTGCACTTGTAATTACGCTTTTTGAGACTCTTATTGACACTTTCTATACTCAAATTGGGCTTAATACTAGATTACACACATCCAGTATTGCAATTTAAAATAGATACTAGTAACATGATTGTTCCAGTTCTTCAAATTTTCTTAAGTTTTTCTGAAGATGACAGTGACCAAATAGCATGTTTGAAACTTGTGTGTCATTTGATTGTGGCCATACATGTGACAAATCAATTCTGAACTAACATTTCTTTCCATGTGGAATTTATGAAGGTCTGTTTTCTTTTCATAACTTTTATTTTCCTGTCTTAAATTCAAAAACTGAATTTGTCTCCGTGATACGACGTGATAAGGCTGTACCTACACATATAGGCTGTAAATCTGCTTTATCTGTTAAATTAGAGTCCATAGAGGAACAAGAAGGTACCGAGGCTATGAGAGCGTTGTAGCAAGCCAGCCCCGCATTCAGCAAGGCATTTAAATTGTATGCCCTAATTTAGGCGTGAGGCTTCTTGGTGAAATAAATTAGAGCTCCCTATGCGTGTGAGTGACCGGCTAAATGTGAGTTAGTTACAACCAAAACTGAGGCCAGGGAAACTTGTTTTGCTGACTCGGCATGAGAAGACTGCTTCTTGCATGAAGTCCAAGAGAACCTGTGCTAGCGGCACTGTTTACTGAAGCTATTCTAATTTGTACAAAACTCAAATTCCAATTACATCCAGCGATAATAATAATAAAATAAGACACATTGGTGTCTCTGACCTTGCCATGCTGGTATTTTCATCGCTTCATTTCTATCACAGCCCTTTATGGTTTCAGCTGGATACATGCAGTATTGTGTATGTTCTTTTTTTGAAGTCGGTGATTTTCATATTGTTTAAACAGTTAAACAACTGTCATGATCCCAGCTTGAAGTAAATCTAAAGGGACCACCCAGAAGCCTGAAAATAGAAAAAATCCTTTGATCACAACAGAACCTAAACAGGCCCAAATTCCGTAGAGTGGTTTATTCAAACACATTTAGTATTAAATATTTTACTGAAATGAAATGAAGAGATAACAGACCTTGTAATATATTGTCAATGCATTATGTAGCATCACCATAGTAATAAGACTGCAATTGATGTTCTGTGTACGTATGTTAATACTAACATTTGTCTGTTGCTTTTTTCCATAAAACTTTGAAATTACCCTCCCTGCAACTCCGTAGTATGTAGACGGAAAACCAGTACAGCCTGTTGTAGAGCAAGAGGTATATTAACTGTAAACTCTCTTAACATTTATTTGTTGTGATGTGCTGTGATGGTATGGCTGTGTTTTTATTTTATGTTCGTTTTCTTTTCAAAATGTTTGCATAGTTCAAGTACTGACAAACTCTAAGAACACGGGTAAGGATTTGAGGGGGAATTTATTTTTTTTTTAATATAAAACTTTTATGTGAGGTTAGAAGCTGAAGTCAGTTGATTTCAGAAAATACAGTGCTAATGTAATAAGCAATTTCTCTACTCCTATAATTTTTGGTACAAGTCAGGCTGTATTCCTGCAGTTGCCAAAACTGGAGCAGGGGTTGAGGAATTGAGGAATCTGACTGCTATAGTGTCACAAAGATAAATAAGAGAAATAAGAATAGATAAACCAGTGGTTATCTCATGAACTATTCCATGTATCATCCTGTCACAGACCATGTTTTAAACGTTTTAAAACAATTTTGTTAGAATGGGGTTACTAAATAGGAGTGTACTATATGTTTCTGTATACTAAATGTTTCATGTCTTTTCAGTACAAAGTTTTCCTACATAACCTCCTTTCCAATACTGAAACGTTTACCAATATGACCTTATTCCAAAACACGCGTTGAATGTACGCATTCCCACTAATGTCAATGGGAGTTGCAGGTTCATTGCTTCTCTGGAAAAGCCTCTGTATTCTATAGTTTTGACAGTTGTGGGGTATACATTTTTGTCCAGTGATGGCTCCTTTGTCTTTTCCTTTGGATTTCCTTTGGATTCGGTATTGAAGAAGTCTCGACACGCTGTTTCCAAACCTGTAGAGAAGTACCTCTGTGAAACACATATTTCAGCTGGGAAAGTATCTTATTAGGCTCAAAACCATCTGATTTATATGCAAGTTCTAGTCTCCCCTTGTACAAGGAGAAAGATCCCCAAGGAGCTGATCACTGAAAAATTGAATGCAGGGAAAATTAAGAGATACTCTATTTTTAGCAAAGCCTACACACCAGTTCCCTTTCAATACAATATACTGAGACTGAGGACCACCTCTTGTGAGCTCTGCTGCTGGAGGAAGGTCCTTCCAGCTCAAGTAACCTGACTGACACTAGTGACGCTGTGTATGTGTCCCACAGCTGCAGGCAAGCATACATCAGACTCTTATTTTAGCCTGACGTGGACAAAAATTGTAGAGTCAGCAGCTGTTCAGACTAGCCCTAAAATGCAGCTCAGCCTTTGCCTTTTTTTGCCCAGCATATGTTAAAAGCATACCTTGTGCTTAGGTTCTATAATAGAACTGGCAACTATGTAATTCACTGTAATTATTTTTGAAAAAAACCTTGCATTTTTAATGTTATCTATACAAAGAGATCTTAATTCTTACAAAAGTTAAATTTCTGTACCTTAACTCCATTGTTGATTCTTTTACTGTTATTAATAGTGGTGGGCAAATATGTTGGACAAAATTTGGGTTATACAAATACTTTTGGCTTAAATTCCATCGAGATACAATTGTGAGGCAGAAACATAGACAGTCTGGTGAAAAATAGGGGAAAAAATTGGGCTGAGAAGTAACTAAATGCGTTTCTGGGACTATCGAAGTTGATCTTGAAAGGACCAAATTATTAGATAGTGCCAGTCTCCTAGAGGAAAGGGAGACAGCTAGAAAAATATTTATGACAAAACCAGGTAATATTCAATTTATATTATATTTTAATGTAATACACAGTCTGGCTGAAGTGGGAGGGGCGGATGAGGGAGGAGAGGGCTGTGTCTTAGCTGGAAAGCTTTGTCAGCTGACTATTGGATTTAAAGTGAATTATCTGTAAGAAGGAACATGGCGGGGGTGGTTTCATTTTGAACTATGAACTTCAAATACTTTTTTGCAACTTTTAAAATATTGTGTACTGGATTGCAAATGCTATAGTGATTTGATTATTTATTTTCTTCTTCCCTTTTTAAAAAACAAAACAAAAACCCAGAGTAAGCCCGTTGTGAAAGGCAGCAAGTACCAAACCTTGCCAGGAAAGCTGCCCCGGCCTGTACAGAATGGCGAGCAGGGAACGTATAATTCGTCGGACGTGTGTGGCATGAACGACAGTGAGGACAACAGCACCCTGGGCCTAAGTATGTATCGGAGGGTTCCGTAGGACAGCAACAAGCAAACTGTTTGAGGGGTTGGGACATAACATGGTGTATAGTGTGCTATGCCACAACAGTGGACTATGACCTTCACGTGATTCAATTAGGGAAAGTTCTACTTCTTTTCGGCAGCGTACCAAAAATACTGCACAGTAGCTCACTGTAAAGGATGGTTTTAAGTTAGAGTGTTCTTTTCTGTTGCACTTGATGATATAATTTGCTGACATCATTGATAGCGTAAGTAATGAAGAGACACTATTTTGAAGACTGGGGGGAGAGCATTCTGAAAGTTAACAAATTTGTAACTAAACACCTGGATAATTTGGAGATGCAGATATACTGGTGATATGAATAAGCAGTATTTTTTCTGGACACTTCTAATGCTCTCCTGAGCTTGCTGATCTGTTTTCTTAAAAAACAAGCAAGCAAACAAAAACGCACAGCCGAGTACGCCATCAATACTTTTTAAAAGTGTATTGGTGTATTAAAACAAACAAACCCATCCCTTGCAATCCCACTGTGTTTTAGTGTGTGAAAGTTTACACTATAACTAGCACTAACATGCACAGTTCAGACACAAATCCTAGTATCGGCACGCTTGGTTGCTGCAGCTTGTGGGGACCCACAAGTGAAAATTAACTTGCTCGGTGCAGAAAAACATCAGTAGATTTTGAAAATACAAGTATATTGTTATTCGACAGCCCCATGTGGAAGCTGGTATGAATTTCTTTTCAATGACATCTTAAGCATGGATTTATTGACAAAAAGTCTTACAGTGAGGCACAGAACCAGGTATTTGCCCAGGACTGAAGAGTTTGGGTGCTCGGGCACAAGAGTGTCCCATCTGATTTTGAAGTGTTCATATGCTTTAAAAGTTGTTGTTCGTATGTTTATATGTTCATATGTTTAAAAGTTATTGGTTTTTTAAGGGTTCATGGTCCTAAAAGCTGGTTCAATCAGTTGTGAGTCCTTCAGGTTTTTTTTAAAGAGTTTTTCTGTGATTGCAATATTGTAGGCAACACATGAGCCATTCTGTTATGTCTTTAACTGCAGGATTGTCCAAGGATGGGTGTTCTTGTAAAGGAAAATGTTCTTTTTCTAGAAACAAGCAATGACTCCTTAAATACACTTAATTAACAGAATTTTTTATGCAGGTTGGTTTGTTTCTTGCATGTGCAGGAAACTCATTATACCTGCAATTCTAAATTTCAGAGGAATTTGATGTAATCGTAGACATTGCTTCATTTCAGATATTCTGCAGGCTTTAGGGAGCTCTGTCGTATACACCTACTGTGTTAAAATTGTCTAAGAATAGTTTGGAAAAAAACTCCAACCAAACAGCTAAATGACAATCCCTAGATGACCTGTACAAAATTCTTGGGGCTTGACTTTCATGTCAACCATAACTGCTTCTTTTCTTTTTGTTTCTGCTTTTAATGCTTAGCTTACTTCTTTGCTCTTCTGTAACTTTATTTTGCTGGTGTTTTATATCTTCTTTGCTTCTTCATCTGGCTTTCTGCTTCTTGGGATGACTGAAGATCGCATCAGGAGTGTCAGTGCACCAGTGCTAGGTACTGTATCCAAACAAGATGCAACTTTAACATGAATTTTGCCGCTTATTTTTTTTCCTTTCCTTTTTCCCTCTTTTTATATTCTCTATGAAGTACTAATAGCAAGTGGGCCATCCAGACTGAATTCCTTAAGTGCAGTACTGAAATGAAGTAACAGCTTTTGCTGTATGGCATTTGGATGGGATTTTTTAAAGATACTTTTATTCTTTGTTTCATTCATCGCTGAAGCCAACAGAAAAATTGCTGCTGATTTTGATGGAGGAGTTCTGGTATTAAGAATAGGCTGAAGACTTTGAACTAATTAAAATAATGCATTTAAATAGAAATTACTGAAATAACAATACTATTTTACCAAATATTTTATAATTTTTTTTTAATCAAATGTATAGCTACTATTTTTTTTACCTTCTAAGCATAGGGTTTTTTTAATACAAGATCAATTTTATAGATATCTTTACTTTTTTATTATGGTCTGTATTTAAACATTAGTCTCCAAGATAACAACTTTGTAACTAATTAGTATAAAATGTGACTGTATTACTGTTCTTAACCCAGGAGAAACAGAGAACGTAGATGGTACAGTAGTCTCGGATGACCTTTCACCTCTTTCTTCGGGAACAGATTCAGGTCCACAGTCTCCATTGTCTCCAGAAAACAGAAAGAGTCCAAAAGGGATCAAGAAAATCTGGGGAAAGTAAGATAATTTTTGTTTTAGTTCCCTGTCAAAGCATTTTGGCTGAGAATGAATCCAGTTCTTAGCAAAAGCTATATTTGCAGCAAGAATAATGTAAAATTCAGGAAAAGGAGAAAAAGCAGCTCTGTGACTGTACAGGTGTGTCTCTATGTACATGTGGGTGTAGAAAAATGGATGGTAGTCTTCAGAATGTCATGCTCTTGGAAGAAATAAGACACCCTGCTGTCATCTTACAATGCTAATAATTTAGAATTGCCAACAGTTTCATTAGTTATGGAAAATTAAATGATAGTAAGTTGTTAATGACAGAAGCCATCAGGTAAAAAATGAGAGAAAACAGACGAAACAAAAAGCAGGGGGACTGAGTTTTACTATGTTCACTTTATCTGCTTCAGGACAGCAGACATTTTCGAGCCTGGCCTCCAGTGTGGATTATTAATTGGGGTGAAGGGTTACGGCTGCTCTGCAGAGCTTGATGGGGTTTTCCCGTTGTTTTTTTAATATTCTTTCCTCCAAGCTGGGTCTAGACAGTGTTTGCCTGGAACTTCTTCAGCTACCACTTGAATTAGATGTTTATGGTTTACAGGAAGGTTAATACAGCTTCTAGTTGTCACTATAGTTTCCATATGAAACAGACGTTCTCTGTCACAAGCTAACAGTACAATCTTGGCACTCTTGTCTTGAAAGAATAAGAAGAACTCAGTCAGGTAACTTCCCAGCAGACGATCTGGGTTTGGCAGAGTTTCGAAGAGGTGGGCTCCGTGCAACAGCTGGACCTCGGTTAGCCAGATCAAAGGAAACTAAAGGCCAGAAGAGGTAATGGTTCCTTCTTTACCTTGCACAGCATATGGTATTGTTAAGTGTGCTGAATAGCCAAACCCTCCTCTTGTGAAATACAGTTTTCCCAACATATTTCATTACATGTGGAATTCCACAACAACTGGAATTTCTCTGGTAGAAAATGTATCCTGAGTAGTTCACCTATCTATCTGCACTCCTTCAACCACAGGCTGCAGCGCTAGCGCTCTGTTGGAGTGTCAAAAATTTCACCTTGTTAAAGAAGAAGAAAACTTGTCATCATCTCCTGTGGAACTATCCACAAAGTGATGAGGATTCAGCAACTCTGTTTTTCCTCCTTTCAAATAGAAAATGGCATATTCTTATTCACACACCCCCACCCCACCGCCTCAAAACTGTTCACAAGTTGAGGCTGGGCAGCCAAATTAACCGGACACCAGTACCACGGCATATGCTGTGAGAACGGCTGTTGGCTTTTGTTACTGCACAGAACAAAGCACACTAATACCTATGCTGTAGTATTGCTTCTGGCACATGATGAGCTTTCTGATAATAACCATAATTCTTTCCTTTAAGATTTTTCAAATATTTCTTATATTTTTCAGTGACTACAATGCTCCGTTTGCTCAGTGGAGCACTGAAAGAGTTTGTAACTGGCTTGAGGACTTTGGTCTCGGTCAGTATGTCATTTTTGCACGGCAGTGGGTGACTTCAGGCCATACACTGTTAACTGCGACGCCTCAGGACATGGAAAAGGTAATAATCTGTAACTGTTTCTCTCAAGCAACCATACGTGCTGATTCGGTACAACCAGGCCCCTTCAAACAATTGGCAGTTCTACCTTTCCAAACTAGGTAGTATCGCTTTTTGTACATACCTAATGAGATGAAAAGAGCCAGAGGCAAGGCAAACAATTTGTTAACGGTTATTGTTGCAGGAAATGGGAATAAAGCATCCACTGCACAGGAAGAAATTAGTTTTGGCCATTAAATCAATAAATGCAAAACAAGATGAGAAGTCTGCACAACTCGATCATATCTGGGTGACACGTAAGTGTTTGAACTATGATGGAATTGTTTGGAAAGGAATTTCCCCCACCCCTACGGATGGGCTGCCTGATACGTTTGTTTAAGCAGTTACCAAACATCTTTTTAAGAGTGCCGACTTTCGACATAGTAAAATTTTCCATAGAATGAGGATTTTTGTGTTGGTCTTGACATCCAAATATACAGCTATACAGTATGATCTTCCAAGGGGAACTCCGTCAGTCAGATTGCAGGGAAGTAAACGGGGGAAGGGCTGAATCTAACAAGAGCTATGTTATGCTGCACAGGGTATGTGCTCAGTCTCACACTGTCTCACTGATCTGTAAAATATCACAGGGGTATTGTGCACAATGCTGTTTGGTAGGAATTGCTTTTAGGCTTCTAGTAAGAGGCTGTCCTTTGGAAAGGTGAACAGGTAGAACAAGCTACCTGAATGCCTCAGCAGAAGCAGCCCAGCCAAGAAGGGAAGAAGGGCTTCATTCTCACTGATCAGGATTTCAGTACACCACTGTTCTTGTATCTGCAGGATGGCTTGATGATATTGGTTTACCTCAGTACAAAGACCAGTTTCATGAATCCAGAGTTGATGGAAGAATGTTGCAGTACTTAACTGTGGTAAGCTAAAACCTTTTTCATCTGTTTAACCAAATGTGCCTTCAGAATGAGCGAAGAATGTTACAATTTCCCTTTGCATGTGAACAGTTAAAGAATTTTTGCAAGACAGAAATAGTACCAGTAGTAACTCATTGGTGTTGTCTAATGGCGTGATTACTATAAATACATAAGTATAGGATAGCTAACTTCTGCAAAGTCTTTCTTTCAATATCATGTAGCACACCATGATTAAAGGTAAAATGACCTATTTTACGTGCACCTTTTGGAGTGTGTTGTTCTCAACACCACATTAGCAACAATATTCAATAAACTAAAGATAAGCAGCAAATCAAGTAATTTGTACAGCTCTGACCATGTTAGCACCAAACCACGCACTACACAGAGCCACTGTGTTTTCTTACAGGTTCCCTGCCCAGGTTTTGATAATTAAGTATTTGGTTTTGTTAACTGTGCTATGAAAAGAATGCCCAATTTAGCTGTTAGCAAAAGTACAGCCTTGTCTATGCTGCTTAAGGGGACTTTGTTACTAGGAGCACGGTCCCTGCAGTTCCATGGTTAGGTGCATATTGCTAGCTGCAGTGACCCTACCCACAAGATCTTAGCCAGATCAGAAACAGTCCAAATATTTTAAAATTATCCATGAGCCTAGATTTTACTTAACAGGCTATGAGCTGTCCTTCATTTTTTAGCCAGGTCTTGCTATGGTGCAATGCTTAAAAAAAAAAAAACCAAACCAACCACCACCAACAAAACTCCCCAAGACCCCCACCCCAAACCCCCCTCTTTAAAATATAAACTTTAATTTTACCTCAACCATAATTACTGTGGTTTATCTAAAACAACATAGTAAGCTTAAAATTTTTCTTCTTGGGAAAAGTACCTGTTCTGGTATGTATTCTATGCCACTTAAAAGGCTCTCTCCTTTACAGAATGACCTTCTCTTTCTGAAAGTCACCAGTCAGCTGCATCATCTGAGTATTAAATGTGCCATTCACGTGCTGCATGTCAACAGTTTTAACCCCCACTGTCTACGCAGAAGACCAGTTGAGGAGGTAAAAGGATGTTTAAGTAAATTAATTTAAACAAGCACTACCTACCCGATTCCAGCCAAAGTGGATAGAAAGTTAGCAGTGTACAGAGATACCTCAGTCACTGCTAGTAGGGAATTACCTGTAAAGCAGGTAGTTGTGCTGTCTTCCAGCTCTGGAATGTGACATATCCTCACCCATCATAAAAATCTACAGACTCCTTTAAGTGCTTGAACCACCTATTGGTTGAATACACTTCCCTTTAGAAATTATTTGCTTAGTTTAAAGAAGTTCATTCAACTTCCAAGAGAATAATGTGAATGCTTTTTCTTGCCTGTCCTAATTTTTAACTCTCCGAGACTAAGGTTTTTGCCTTGCCCAGTCAGCATAGCTTATTCTCTTAGTATTAAAGACTGACAATAATACTTTTTCCAAAAGGCTCCCTTTTTTACACCCAGCACCCGCAGGTCTCTACTGTTATACTACTTGATGCAATATATGGGGTTTCATCTGTACTAGACTATCCCTGCCATCTCATCAGAGGACATTTGGAAGAGGCCTCAAACAGAAGCAATACCTTAGAATGGGAGAAAAAAATACTGCTCTTTGAGGAAGAGGAGGAACGATGTTTTTATCTCAACTGAGGATACATGTTGTGACAATGCAGGCTATATTGTCATCATGTTTTCTGGTTACTTTAACAGAATAGCGTTTCGCCTTCTGAAGTAGTTCAGTGGTCCAATCACAGAGTGATGGAATGGCTCAGGTCAGTCGATCTGGCAGAATATGCACCAAATCTTCGAGGAAGCGGAGTGCATGGTGGCCTGATTGTAAGAATTCTTTTTAACATTTTACTACATATCTAATAAATCTGACACTGTAATATAAAATACCTTTTATCTGGTGTTTGTCAAGCAGGAGGAAATAAATACATCTGCAATATGACTGCATGAACAGGCCTTCTGAAGAGCCTCTGTATCTGATCCACACATCTTAATTTTACTACAAAGGAAAACTAAAATAAAAAAGGAACTGCTAAAACGTTTTTTTATAATCAAAGCTGAGCTGTGCATGAGTGTTTAACAGCAGTACGTTACAAAAAACCTCCAAACTATACTGTGGGAAAGTAACTTTACTGATAAGGCATCACTGTTTCTTTGAGTGGTTTTAATAGAATCGTCAGCCACAGTAAGTAAAGAACTGTCCTGAACTTGCAGCAGTCTTGCCAGCAATCAGGAATGACGTTTTTTTAACTGAAAACATTCAGAACTATTTGCAGCTTAGTAAAGTCAGAGTTCTGAAATACTGTGACTCTAGTGCCACAGAATTTTTGCAAAAAGGATATAGAAAAAAATGTGCCAAGATTAAGTTTATACTCTCAGTTACAGCAGTAAAAGTAGAGCAGCAAATTCTGAAAACAAATTTCATCAATCCAAGCAAATGTAATATTTCATGATAAACAGGTATTTGTCTGATCATGCTCTGCATTCCTTAGTGCCTACTTTCATGTATTTCTCGTTCAAACCCTAACAAGTATCATATCACGAGTGAGTTATAAAAGGTTTAATGTAGATAGCTAGCTTAGTACCAATGAGAAATCCCTCTCATAAGCACTGTAATGGCTTACTAATACAAATATTTAACCATATAAAAATAATCTGCCATTTTTTTACTAGATTCTTGAACCTCGCTTCAATGGTGACACACTAGCAATGCTGCTGAATATTCCGCCTCAAAAGACCCTGCTGCGACGCCACCTAACCACCAATTTTAATGTACTAATCGGACCAGAGGCACAACAAGAAAAAAGAGAAATAATGGAGTCAACAGCATATACACCTCTGACCACCACTGCCAAAGTTCGGGTACGTACTGCTTTCAGATTTCCTCTCCCCTGTCTTTAAAAAGAAAATAAGGGACAAACAAGGGCAGAGAGAGGTCAGTTCTAGGAGGAGTGTTACATTTTCCTTAATTCTAGATACCAAAGCTTTTAAGTTGTATCTGTTTAAATCAGCTTCTGAAATAAGCATGCAACCCCTTCTGTCTTTTCGTAGAAGGAACAGTTTAAATGTATTTAAAATCAACTGTAAGTCCCAATTTGAAAACAATTGAATTTATTTAGTTCAGAATCTATATCCTTTAAGGCAGAAGTAAAAAAGGAGAGTATTTTGAATGTTTGAAGGACAGCCTTATTTTTCTTATTTAACACTTGTTGTCTTCTTATTTTAGCCAAAGAAACTTGGATTTTCACATTTTGGAAACCTAAGAAAAAAGAAATTTGATGAATCAACAGACTACATTTGTCCTATGGATACAAACCCAGCTGCTGCAAATGGTACTCAGAAAAACTATGGTGGATACAAAGGACTTAGTCCATTCACTGATAGGGAACTGGATCAGGTGGGACAGACTGACTGATGCCATTCTCATCTCATCCTCTCCATTCCAAAGCTTGCAAATAACCAAATGTTAGCATATAACAAAGTATTTGCTACATCCGCATGAACTCATTGAGAAAGTATTGGCTATGGACACTGGAAAGAGTTCTATACTAAGAATGTCAGGTTAATTTTTTTAATCAACATCATAATAACCTCCAGCCATCTTCAAGCCCTTTTTCAGGAATATAACACCTTTACACTATGAAGATCAATGTATTTTGACAATTAAGGCGGAGGTTGCAGTAGACACGAGACTTTTGTACTTGTAGCTTTCATAATCTGCATATGCACTCTACTTTTTTCATTATCTTTATGGGTGGTTTTTAATGTAATAAATTTATTTGTACTAATTTGTACAAAGCTATCAAGTTATATATTGAAGTAAAAGTGGACTGTATATTTTTAACAGACATTAATCAAAGGATCAAATTGAATTTTTTCTTTCGTTATGTACAGTGGGGAGTAGTTACACTTAGACAGTATATGTGAAAAAAATGCATCAGTAATGACCAAGATTATTAATAAACTGATACTTAAATAATTCACTTTTGTTATGTAGTAGTGAATTTGAATGAAACTGTGTCTAGATATCATACAGGCAAGTGATGAAGACTAAAAACCATCAAATTTTATTCAACTTTGCTGTTGTGTAAAGGGATGTAAACCCTGAAAAATGGAGCACCTGGAGGCTTGTGTGAACTTTGGCAACACACAAGATAACTGGGATAAACTGTCCTAGCTCCAGTGACCTTAAGTGAGATAAAACATTTTAAGCCTAAGAAGAAGAATGGTCACAAAATTGAAAAGACTAACTGTGCAAGTATTTCTTTCATTTGCATGGTTTATTGCATCTAACACCTAATGTGTGTTCCTTGTCTAACCCATTGTCTTTTTCAATGTACACCTTAGCAAAATATACTATTCCTAATGTTCCTAAGTAGGGCCAATACCAAATCCTGACTATAATTTAGTATGGATGTCCACCTGCACAGTTAAGAGTACCAAGTGAACACATTAACTTTGAGCCAACAGCTTACACTATGCGGTTGTTTAAGCATTACTTTTGTAACAGGATTTTTCTCTAGTAGCATGGTCTTTCAATCAAGCATGAGTTCTGAGCATGTGTTATGCAGTGAAATCTTAATGCTCTAGAGCTGATAACCTTTTTATATAGGTAGGAAGAGGTAGGACTGTTATCATGAAGGACTCTCACTGCTTGCCTGGAAGAAGACTACCAGAAGTTTAAGTGTTACACTGTCAGAAAAATACTACTCTTCACTGATTGATAGTATCAGTTAAGCTTTTTCTTTTCTTGTGTGAATTACAGCTCAATTTTCATGGAATCAATCCTTCTTAGTCGGGATTCACTCATCCTATCATTAAATGCGTTTTCACATATCTGATAGCACAGAGGCATTCTGTTAACGTGCAGAAATCAGAGCTTTTAAACATAACACAACTTCATTTGCCCAGGCACAGATACTTCCCAAAGATGCATGCAGAGTGGATAGAATTGCTCATACTGTCTGATTTGAACTAGTTCCTGAATACTTTTACAGATGGAACATTCAGAAGGAACAGTAATGCAAATAGGGGCTCTTTCTCAAGGCATAAGCCATCTTACGGTATGTACTAATTTCACTCTTGTTTTAAAGTCACAAATGTATTCTGCTAGAATTCAGTCAAAGCTGGTCATTGCTGGTGGTAGTTCAGAGTAAGTGGGTCACTATTCTAGTTAAATACTTCTTTGCAGCCTGGTTGCACATTCACAGTCAATTTTTTTTTTTATTACTTTAAATTGCACTAGAAATTAAAGTTAATTTAGGCCTATTTTAAATTTTCATAAACTCTGCTGTCTCTTTGACCCAATGACAGATATTTCATCCCCTTAAATTAAAACAATTCTTCAAAGATTTTGCAAGTAACCACCATCGAATGCCTCAGTCACAGCAAAGTCTAGCAAAGAGGTACAGACTTGAAAATTTACGTGAGCTATAAGTCCATGGCAAACAAACAAGCAAAAAAAATCGCTGTATTGATGCGTGGTTCCATAGCAGCTAATTTAAAAAACCGAAAAGTTGATTGAAAGATATAATGAAGAATTACATAACATAGTTGAGTCACATCTCACACACAAAATCTCTCTCAGAATTTTCTCAAGCAAAAAATAGGTTTTTTTAAAGCTGCATTGAAGAAATTTATTTTAATTTTATGTGGCTCTAACCCCCTCTGTTGTGAATGTAATCTCATTACAGTTGGATTTCTTTAACTATAGGCCTCTAACTAAATATGCGTACTCACTCATATCTTGTTTTTGCAGACAATGTTAAGCCAAGATGAAATGCTGAATGACAGCAGGTTTTTAACACCTACCTTTGAAGACTGGAGATGATGTTTCAACACGACCAAGAACACTAATACCTCATGCCTGTCCAGAGGGGTGGCCAGGAGAAGCTTGATGCTGTGGTACAGAAAAGCTTGACCTCTTTTCTGCCAATAAGACTTGCCACATAGCCTTTATATTGTCGATGTAGCAACACGTTACAGGTAGCTCTCCTCTGTGCCATTTTCCATATTTTGTAAAGTGAAATGGGTACTGAGAGAGAAGTGGTACTCATATCCAGAGTCTGGAAAGCCAAGACTGGTAACATGCTTTACCCTTTTATTCAGTCATCTTTTACATGGTGTGTTTATGTACTGTTACATGAAAGATCTTTTGTAATTTTTTATTTTTTTATATTAACTTGTAATGCAGGAATCATTAATATTCTATAGTACAATGTGGACTAATCAGACCCACCTAGAAATTCAGACGGATGCTCCAGTGGTAATGGCTCACTAACTACTACAATCTTGCCAGAGACTGTTTCCCATAAAAGGATTTTAATCTCTCGTCCCTTTCATTAGCGCATGTCCTGCCCTGTTTTTCTCTAAGTACAGTGTAGAATGGGAAGAATAGAACATCATACTATCCATCAAGCCCTTGCTTTTATCAGGAGGAGGACAATCGAAATGGCATGTTCACTAAAAAAAGATGCTGAACAACTGCAGCAGGAAATGTGACTTTGAAACTACTAGAAAAACTGATAGACTCAAAAGCTGGTACTTCATTTAAAGTGACTTTTTCATTGTGTGATTTTTACATGTGCATGAAGATGTTCATAACCAAGGAACAATCACAACACTTAACTAAAGTAAAATGTAACTTTAAGAATGGTGTTCACTGCACTCTGTAGGGGAAGCACAACAGAATTTCCAGCATGATCCAGTTCTTTAACTAGAACTATTGAATGGCCTCTTTCTGTACACTGACATTTTGTCTAAAATGGCTACTACTGACCCCCACAGGCAAGCATCAGGATGCTCATAAACCTTCTGAACAATCAAAATGGCTCAGATAAAGTTTTCTGAGCCCTGTACCTGGCTGGTGGGAAATATAGTACAGGTTCTTGGAAAGACAGGGATGGTAATAAGCCTATTTTCTTTCTGCAGTTACACCTAATTAAACATGTCTGCAACAGCCCTGAGGACTGGAGAGGGCAGTAGAAACACTTTTGTAACATTTGTGTGAGAACTGATGATGTTGTAAACAATATTGTTGTTCACTTTCAGTTCTCTTTTCATTCCAGCTACAGATAGATTTTCATAGAATACTTTATTTAGCAATAGGAAACAAACATTACTGCTCTGTGATGTGTAAAATGTGACTAAGGAGCATCAGGCAAGTACCATAACAAAACAAGTTTTCCTTTCTTTAAAATAGCTGACAAAATAGATCTGTTGCTATTCTACTGAGCCAGGCAGGACTGCAGCACTGTAACAGAGGGAAATACAGCCTCTCACAACTTTCTTGAGGGGCTGTTCGAGGCTGAAAGCGTCTCCTTTACAGCAGCAATTACTTGTGGCATCTGTTGACATATGCCTCTCGTGCATTAATAAGGTATTAACAAGATATCTTAGTAAATAAGGAAATGGCAAGAAATGGAAAAGAAATCTGCTCAATTGTGAGGAAAAGACGTAGTATGTATATGGATGGGTTGCAGTACTCTCTCCTTGCTGGCTACAGGGTGTTGGCTTATATATTAATATAGCCTGAGGGCAGGTCACTCCCAGCCACAACTCCCCCAAATACAGCGGAAATCTCAGGTACTGTCCAGATATGCAGCAAGGGCTCTTCAAGAGCTATCAGTGGTACTTTTTAAAGGTGACCTATTCTAGTCCTCACTCCATGAGAGACCTGCACTGTATGGTCAGATTTTAGAAGCTAAACAGGTGATTTTATTGTCCAAAATGGTAAAACCACGGCAATTTTTTTTTCAATTGCTTAACAATGAAGTGATAATGGAAAATCCACAGGAATGAGACATCAGTCTACACATCAGCAAACTAAAAATACTTAATAAAAAGTATAAAACTTACCAGTCAAGTACATCTCTAATCTGGCAATGCAATCAATCAACACTAGTGACCAGGTCATATACTATGGGCATTTGAAATACTTTGTCCAGTTAATTAGCCAGCAGACTTATAACAGCACTACAAATAGGATAGCTGCTCTAACAGAGGCAGACTTAATATCACTGGGATATTCCAAGCTGATTTTCAGATTTCTTTTGATGATGTATTTATAATTCAGTGTGGTATTGTGCAAACTTGGCTGTGAATAGTCAATCTATAAAATTACTGATTTTTTTAAAAATATATATATATAGTAAGAAATCCTAATTAGCATAACACAGGCATAAAATGCTTATTTTGACTGTTATGAATAAATTCTGAATGTTCCTCCATCCCTTACTGACTGTGGAACGATTCTAACGCAAACACATGTGGATGATCTCTGATCAGGGACAGAATCACAGTCTGAATCTTTGTGTCTGTCTTTGCATTATTGCTACAAAGGTAACAGATGAAGTACAAAACCCCTCTGTCAATTTTTAACTAGTAGATTCCTTTAGGTGAATAAAAATATTTAGTAAACATATTCATTAGCATCTGAAGAAACAAATCTTCTGGCTCAGGGATTTGTCAGACCTTAAAACAAATGTAGTATAAACTAATTCTTGGAAATGAACATGCAGTACTTCAGGCACTGAAGACTAAGAATTAAATGCTATGTGGTAAAATCACTGAGGCGTTAGCTGAGTTTAAGATCCACACATCATAGCTTACAGTAGGAAGTAAGAAGGCATGTTTTCTCATAAGCAAAGGAAATTTCAGAAAATTGCCAAAAGAGCAAACACTACACTTAAGAGGATGACATTCAAATGCTGTAACATCACTGGATATTTACATCTGTATATGCAGCCCAGAGCTTCCATATACAGTTGGCAGTGATTGTTTAGCTAAGGTTGTTAGAAGACAGCATGAAGTTATGTAATCGTCCCAAATAAATTTCACACTAAGAATAATATCTGTTACAGTAATAAGCAATTTGCACGTTACCCAAATTCTGTTCACTTTTTCAATAGCATACTTTGACTTCTTAGTCCTTGGTAAAAGGCTGTAAAATAGCATTTTAAAAAAAAAAAAAAAAAGACTGTTCTTTTTACTCGCCTTCCCCCAGGACGCACTAAATGAATTACCAATAGAGCATAATTAAATAATCCTAGGCCAGTTTTATTGCCATTCCATACCCATGTTAACAAACAAGTAGTTTTATCTCTGTCCTACCTGTCCAATTACACTTTTTTAAAAACACACACAAAAAAACCCCCAAAATACTGCACAATTATATATCAGTTGATCCTGTAGGAAAATATGCAGCGTGTACTTACGAAAAGGTATCAGACGTGATCAGTGTTAATAAGAAAATGTACTGCTCTTGGGATAGCCGAGTTTGTCCAGGTTGGGCTGACACGCAAACTGAATCATAGGTGGTGGCCCACACATGAGAACAAGTGTCTCACTGCCGGGGGAAGGGAGGTGGGTTTTAATCATGTCTGCAGTGACGAAGCCAGAACTGTACTTCCAATCTGAAACAAAGGAATTAAACTATTAATTTGAATCTCTGTACAGTCTGAAGCCTTTTTAAACTGCGTATGTTGTACTCGCAAAGTTATGCCGCCATCACTGCAAGCAAAGATAGGGCTAAAGCTGTCACTGAGCTCAAACGTAATGGTCCCCTTTGATAGGGAGGACAAGCATGTGGATAACAGGGATCTGATTGATATGGGTTTATATAGTTTTTCAGACACTTAAAACTAGACAGCAGGTAGGAATACGCAGGAAGAATAAATCAGCTATTTCAGTGAAGAGAGGTCACCCAGAGGCAGTTGTGCAGGGAGGGGTACTGAGATCTGTGCCATCCAACACAAAAAAAAAAAAGGAAAAGCGATCAAGTGATGAGGTGACAAAAGTTCTGCAATGTAGTTAAATGATGAGGAAAAAAAAAAGGAAAGAAATGCTAAATGATTTCAAGCAGTAATATTATTGAATGCATCTGCCATTTAAAGTGAGCCAAGTAGGAAAAATAATCCTACCTTCACATACAAAAACATGTGCATTAAGCTCATTTATCAGAAGCAAGATACTGGCGTTATGAAAACAGCAGCAGTCAAAAGCCATATGAAATGTTAAGTATTTAGGAAAGGAAAAGGAAACACCCCATCAAATTAAAAATACAGAGTTTGCCTGCATCTTGGCTTCTGCTGCTCAGTTCTGGCCTGCTCAGCTCAAGTGGAGCTGGAAAAGGTTGAGACAACAAGGATAAGCAAAGGTATGTGATCACTGCTACGGGGGGAATACCAGCAAACTTCAGGATAGAAGAGATGGGGCAGCAAGGGTGATTGATAGATGTCTGTACAATTAGTAACATGAAGAGAGTTGGCAGGCACCTAGTCACAGTCTCTTCCAACACAAAAATTTAAAGGCAAATGCAAACCAGAGGAAGTCATTCTTCACACAAAAGTGCTAATTCTATGTCACTAACAGATCTAAAAGCTCACACGGGCTCCAAAGGATACACAGTAAGTTCATACAGAAGTAGTCCACTGAGGGTTACTATAGCTGTAGAGATACATTTGGCTCAGAACTCAGAAATATTAAAGACTGGAAGAGTATCAAGGCCTGCAGATTACTCTGCTCTGACCATCTACTCATGGCTATTGCTGACAACAGGGACAGAACTTTGATCTGACTCAGTTTGGCTCTTATGTCTATTAAATAAAAGCTCAGATCACTTACAACATCAACAAACACGAATACTCAGGTTTCAAAGGAGATTCAGTAGAGTTCAACCTCTCCCTCCATTTCTAATTCAGGGCTACACCAGCCTACATTTAATGCCTTAATCTAGACACATGGCAGCTCTGCTTTACCAGAATCTAATCCAGAGCTGCTGCAAAACAAAGATGTGCAGTACTACTCACAGGTATTAAGCAATTTAATGCCAACTAAATGTTAACATAACCTGATTTGGGAGATAGCCCAAAACAGAGCTGTAACTTTTGCTGAAAAGTCAAAAAAAAAAAAAAAGGCATATCCTGAAATACATGAAAATCCACTGAGTAGCGCGTGTCTGACTCAACAGGAGATTATTGGCTCACACTTTCTAAGGCCCACCTGGTTTAGAACACTTTTCAAAACAGGTGTTGTAGTCAGGCTTGTTTCTGAGGAGTTTGGGGGTGTCTTTGTTGTTCAGTATAAAACAAGAGGACTGGATACTAATGGCCCCTTGAACAAGAGTGAAACTCTGACTGTTGTACAGTGATGACCAAAAGCATTTCCAGTGTGTACCAGTAGCCTACCTTGTGGAGGTCTGTCCAGCGTATACCAAAGCGTGAACTGATCAGGATGCCTCTTAGCAATGTCTTCTAGCTCATCTCTCAGTAATATATCTTTTTCTGTCTGCAAAATAAGACAACTCTTTAGCTCCAAAGCATCGCAAGGTGCCCTCTAATGTGAGTTCATCTGGCGTTCAACAAGACAAATGCAATGGTAACTCATTCAAACCAAGAAAGCAATCCCCCCCCGGCCTTACATGATATGCTATTATCACTACAAGCTTCTATAAATTCAAATTAAGAACAACAAATTATGAGACTTAATAGCCACCTAAACACTGTCTTAAAGATGGCAATTTGAATAACTTTTTAATCCAGGCTAAAATCACAGGTAGGTGTATTTGTCTCTGACCCTGGCAAATACAGCCCTGTACCAGCATGGTGAAGGTTAACTGCAGCAACAGATTAACAGAACAAAATCCTGTTTCCTTGACATCAGTGAAGGAGTAAAATGAGTAGAGGGATCAGGATCTGTTCACACTATTTATTCCCTAATATAGGAATTAGGGAGTACAGGTGGAAGTATGAGAAGCCATCTTCAAAAAGAAAAAAAGATCATGGGAACTATGCCAGCACCACGCAAATATTGATAAAGGGCCTTATGGATAATTCTTTTATTCAGTTTCTCCTTCTTAAATTATTTTAACCCAAGAAAATATATTAAGACCTTACATAATAACCATTTCCTGCTTCTCCCTATACTGATCATTTTTAAATGTTCTATGTCAGGTAATATTTTCTTATAAATGGTTGGGTGAAAACACAAGCCCAAAGACACTGGAAGGGTATGAAACATGCAGAGCAGTATTTTCTCCAGGCATCGACGTCCAATCAGTTTATAAAGCTCCAAGGCCAGCAAGAAAAGTAGGCCATTAAAGAAGGACAAACAGATGAGTCAGTATACTCACCTGATTGGCAAAAAGAAGATAACATTTTGTAGAGTCCTTAGGATCTTCTGTGATACGACGAATCAGCTGCAACATAGGAGTTATTCCTGTTAAAAAACAAAAGTGGTTAAAAAACGGGTATTTCTATGGCTGCATTTTCAATATTAATGGTGAATTCCTTCAGTGGGAGCTCAGTTTGCATGGGGCTATGTACCTCTGAATTTCCAACCCATGCCAAATGCAGAGGTTGGCGGTTTCTATTATTACAAATTGTTTCAAAACAAAAACAAAACCACAATACTTTGATCTCTGCTGCATTCTCTATCACATACAGTAATTTTACCCTCAAGACATTCTCCTAAAATATTTTTTGTCATTGAGACTGAAGGTCAGAGAGATGAAGTGACTTCTCTGAGGTCATACGGTAAATCAAGATTAAAACTCTGAAGTTGCTGGCTCCCACCATTGAGCTCAAGCCACTGAAAAGCCTCAGTGTTGCCAAACACTCATGAAAAGAAATACAGATGTAAGTGCTCTGCTACTACAGTGTTTGATACTCCTCACGTGCATCCATGAAGACGTCTTTGTTCTCTAGGCATTCCATATGATGAAAATAGTTTTACCTGTTCCTCCAGCTATCATCCCAAGATGTTTTGCAAACTTTTTCTCTGCTTCAGACTTCTTATGAGGCTTGATAAGAAAGGTGCCTAGAAGAAATATTCAAACATATAGGTATAATAACTCCCAAACAAACATGGATACAAATTCCATGGGCATAAACTACTACAGCCTACCAATTAATTGGGACAGATCTTCTGGAAATGCTAAATGCATTTCCAGATCAGCACAGCATTGAGCGCAAAAAGTAGAAACTTCTTTGTCTCTGTAAACTCCAATCCTAACTTTGAACAACTGATTTACTCCCTCCCCGCTACTCAACGTCTTTTATAATAAACTCGAGAATTCCCACATCACTGCCTAGAACACAGATTGGCAACTATGAATGTTAGTGGTAGCTAAAGGTAACCACAGCCCCTGCTACAGCGAAACAGGTTTTTAGGCCATCTTCATCATCCTCGCTTGCACCATGTATCTAGCCATTTGGGTGTGTCCAAGTTCAATGGAGTTGTAATTAAACCAGCATCAAGCAAGAACACCTACAAAGATTAGAATCAGGAATGTTGGACCCTTGCATACTTTTATCAAGCACTTCATTATTGTAATTCATTTCCAGTTAATGAGATCCCCATGACACTCGCAGGTAGAGTGCGAGACACTACCAGTCAGGTAGATAGGTGACTACCTTCTAGTATCCTGTGATGAGAAGACCTTGCCGATTTCTGCTCCACACTTGCGTATACCATTGCTTCAGAACTATCACAAAACCAGTTTGCAATTGAATTATTCTCCAAGAACAAGCCCAAATGAAAAGCCCATGAAAAGTATTCTATATGAAAAGCACTTGACATATTCCAATCTTAAGAGATCTGTAACTAGTAACAAGCTTTCCTAGCTACTACTCTTTATAGCAGCCAAAGCAGAGCAGAAAGGAATGTTTGTAAAACATGCATCACACGTTTCCTCTGAGATATAACAGCCTCATCAGCATATTACTCATCATAAAAGGTCACGATCCAGAGAAGCGCTGAGCACTTAATACCCCTGAGGTATAAGAGTTAAGTGCACAGTCCCTCTGAGTCAAGATCAGTGAAAAATCTTTCACTTGCGTCTTGAAAGAGGATTACTTCTCTGAACTTACGTCCTCCCAGTCCACTCAGACCTGGTTTAATCATGCAATGGAGCTGGCTCTCAGTCAGCGGGTTATTCAGTAACAACACTGAGATTCTCAGAGGGCATTTTAGGCCACAACCTCCCTCGTTTAAGCAGCATCTGAAACATCTCCCTCCATATGTATAGCTGAGGCATTATTTCCAGTGCAGCCTTCGCAGCTATATAATGCAATAGTGATTTTTTCAGATTTAATTATTTGGCCCCAGGAGTGACAATAACCAGCTATTCCTTACACAAAGTAAACATAACGTAATCTTTCACACCGTATCAACTCTGATGAGCTCTTGGTCAAGACCAGGAAAGGTGGATTTTATCTTTTCCACTTTTTAAAAAAAGACTCTTTACAAAGTTGTGAAATTTTATAAGACACCTCTGAAAGTAACCCATAAAAATTCCTCCTTTTTGCTCTCCCACCTTCATGTCACAGTACCTGACCCTTTATAGACAAGGAGCCCATTTGGGCCTCTGAAATCAATAATGTCTCCAATCTTCATGTCATTTAGGTACTGGGACATCTTCCCACCTTCGGGAAACTTGGGGTTCACATTTTTGTGGTAGACCTGTAAAAACAGTAATTTGTATCATATCAACCACTAGCTTTCCTGAAGAAAATATTACAAACTGTAGCATACAATATTGCAGGTCTGAAATTTAGCATCTGAGAAAGCAATTGAGACAATACTCAAGTTATCTGTTGTGCCTTGCAACAGGAAGCAGCCAAAATAAGTACAATGCTCTCTCCTGCACATGTTCCCATGCTCTCTGCAAACAGACAGGCTAACAAGAATAGGCAGCAGGCAGCTTACATACTGGTGCCCTCCTTTCACTGTCCCTCCAACAAGAACCTTATGTCACCCCATTTTTTAATTGCTCCTTCTGAAAATAGCATTGATGCATCTTTTAAGACTCTCCCAGAGACTACAGCCATGTGGTAGCTTTTTCACCCTTCAAAGCACAAAAATATTAAGTAGTTAATAACAATTCACCATACTTGTAACATAAGAGCATGCAAAAAAAAAAAAAAAAAAGCCAGATTCTTGCTTAAGGACAAACTCTATCATAGAAAAGGATTAGCAAAACCAGAAGTTCTGTGATCAAATCATCCTGCTTAAAGGATTTCCCTTGTTTCTGTATCCCATTTTCTTAATCACATTAGCACAACTTCTGATGCTTACAGACATATAACTGCAATCTCTGTAGCATCACCAAAGATAGCAGTTCTTATTGACTATTAGCGGTAACTACTAAGTAGCATAGGCAGCTTGAGGGAAAGTGACTGCTATTTGTGCGTTGCCAATAAAAAGATAGTAGGGAAGTTCCTGCAGTACTGCCAAGGAAGCGATTCCTTTTCTCCATCTTCCCTGCCTCTGCTGTCTCTCAGTGACATACAGCAGATACACGGGATACAACTTACTATTCAAGGATAATGTGAAATGAGTTGTCTGCCATGCAGCCATCCTATTTGAAAGAAATCAATCAAAATAAACTCTCTATTTCACTAAAATGAAGTACTTTCCTTCCTTCCAGTAGCAATTTATCTATATTAAAGGAAACCAAAATTTACCTTTATAATTAAATCAACATAACCTTTTGTCTCATCACTGGAAACCGGGGTATAGGCTCGAATCACCAGATTACCATCGATTTTTGCAGAAAGGTAAACATGTTGGCCTAGGGAGAAAGAATTAAAATCTGCTCATTTACTTTTTCATCCCTGGATGACAAGACAAGCAAGAAAAGCAGGCATTGTAACAAGCAATCATGGAGAAAATCTTTGCCATATAAATGCTGTATAAAACATCTAGCCTATTCTCTTTTGTCAGCAAGAATTTCTGGACCGCAGGGTAACTGAGGCGAGACGGTACATTACAGAACCAAAGATAAGATACAGGGAAAGTAGGAAATTTATAGTAAAATAGTGATCTAGAAAGTTTGTTGCTCATTTTCAAGTGTTCTCTGTATTTTGTGTTCTGCTGTTCTCATATTCACAGAACGGCAGGGATCATAAGGGATCTTTGGAGATCATCTAGTCCAACTCCCCCACCAAAGCAGGTTCACCTAGAGCAGGTTGGACAGGAATGCATCCAGGCAGGTTCTGAGTATCTCCAGAGAAGGTGCCTCCACAACCTCTCTGTGGTTGGACAGGAACGCATCCAGGCAGGTTTTGAGCATCTCCAGAGAAGGAGCCTCCACCACCTCTCTGGGGCAGCCTGTTCCAGTTTTTCCTTATGTTCAGATGGAATTTCCTGTGTTCTAATTTGTGCCCATTGCCTCTTGTAATTATGAAGTGGAAGTAAGGATACACCAGTTCACACAGGCAAATAAGTATTACAGTTTAATAGCAGCAATCTCTCAGAGCAGAATTCCCCGAGATTCTGCACCAAGACATCAAGAACAAAGCCTTGGGCCATATTCCTTCTCCATAACTCCAGCCTCCATAACACTGCAGCTTCTACAGCATTGGATGCTGCTGTCCACAGAGAGCTCTTTGCCGAACCTAATGCTCCAAGACGTAGACTCTAAAAGGCACCCGTTTCTTTCTGCTGATTAAAAGAACTGAAACTCCTTGCCAAGAGTAGTTGTAGTCTCTTTAGCCAGACAGTACTAATCTAGAGAATTGTATGTAACAAAAAGCAGAAACAGTGCTGGCAGAAAACACTTATTTTTAGCAAAATGATCCTGGTAAAAACCAGAAGGCAGGAATCTCCCAGGAAGTAATCCGGCCCATACAGTTTCAGGATCTTATTCCTAAATTCTTAAGAATAAATCTGTATAAACACAAGCACTGCATGGTACATCTCAATTTGTTTATCATTTGTCTAGTTAATGTGGACAGTTCAATTACACTTTCCCATACAAGCCAGAACAGAATTTGGAGAAAGACTGCTGCCCTTGACAGGCAGCACACGAGAAGGATGTGCTCACAGCATGGAACAGGAAAGACCCTGACACTTGCCATACAGCACAGGAAACTGCAAAACACAGTACAGAACGAACAGGGCCATATCTGCAGATCAGAAAGGGAGAATTTCCCCTGCATAGATTACCCACTGATTCAAGGTCCAAGGTTCAATGCCAACAGTTTTGCAGGGTACATGAAAGAAGACTGTGCCAATCCTAGTCTGAAATAAACTTCATGCTACAGAAAGCAAGACAAAGTTGTACGCATATGTATGTAAACCAAAAGGAAGTGCATACACAGAAAAGGCTCTGAATATTTCAGCACCTTCTGTGTACACAGTAGTTATATTTTTGCCTTTGTTCTGCACGGAATAGTTAACAAGCTTCCCAGGCAGAAGAGTTGTTCTCTCTCTCATTTACAAGTGTGACCCTATTTGCCAAAAGCATGAGGGCAGTTAACAATAAACTGAGGGCACCAGATGGAAGTAGAATGCAAGTAAGAAATATGAAAAAGCTTTGACAGGTACCATTCTTGCTTATATGCTGACTGGTGATTAATTTCATGAGACTTAGTTGAGTTTCACTGTTCTTGCTCTAAACTGCACCACACAACTTAACACAAGCAGACAAAGCGCACACAACCGATCAGAAATACAAGGCTTTGGGAAATCTGACATTTCTCCCTGACACAGCAGCATTCAGATGCAGCCTTTAACTCCTTGCTTTGTTGAGCCTTAAATTCCCAAACAGTCAGAAGTCCAAGAACTATGACTACAGTTATAAATCCTGAAACCAGAAATATATGTAACAAAGTGTTTTTAATACTTACCTACGGGTAACCCTAATATATGATCTGGTGAAGGTAGCCCAAATCGGAATTTCTTAGTATCGTGACTGATTTCCTAAAAAACCGAACAAACAAAATCAGAATGAGATCACCATCACCACTGCTTTGAATTTCAAACTCTACTCAACACGTTATGCTTTAGTTAGCATGCAAGCCAAATACTAGGAAGGGAAGCAGAAACGGCTTTGAAAAATAAAGTTTAAATAGATCAGAAGTTTTAGAAACAGTCTTTTCCTCTTTAATTCCAGAAGGAGTGACTTTTGCCTGTCTGCGCAATCCCTGCAGCACCTTTACATAAAGAAAATCTGGAAACCCTGTATTGCCCAAGGCCAGCGAGCACGTTTCATAATTTGTGACCAAAGATCAGCAAGACACGGCGTGCAGAAGCACAGGCTGTTGGGGTTACTTCTCACTGATGCACATGGACAGAAACCAAGGGTGAAACACAGCTCTAAACTAGGATTTAAACATGCAAAGAAACAAGTCTACCCTCCTACTGAAACACCTGTAATACCATAGTGTAGGTATAAATGCTTTTAAGAATCCTGCTCTACGCCAGGCAAACACTGCAGCGCGGCTGTGGCAGTCACAGCCGCCCCTTGAGGGCTCTGTGCACTTCTCTGGCCCTGAAGCCCAGGGCCAACCGCCCCTCCGACCCCCACCAGAATAACGGACCAAACACCCATAGACATCCCTCGCACATGGCCCAACAGGCCCTCACACCCTCACCAGAATAACGGACCAAACACCCCACAGACAGCCCCTGCCAACAGGCCAACAGCCCCTCAGACCTCCAACAGAGTAACGGATCAACCGCTCCTCAGACCCCCAACGGACCAACCACCCCTCAGACACTCCCCTCGCCAACAGACCAACCGCCCCTCAGACCCCTCCACGGACCAACCCCGCCCCTCAGGCCCCCCCAACGGACCAACCGTCCCCACCCGCCCGGCCGATGAGCCCCCCAGAGGCCGGCAGGACCCCCGCA